AGAAATCGCTAAGACTATTACTGTAGTCCGCGGGATGATTAGATATAACTGTATCTAAACAAAGCAACATTATATCCGTAAGACTATTTCTGTAGTCCGCGATTCACTTAGATATATCTGTATCTAACCTAATCTTAACTACCTACTCAATCAATTCACGGATATAACTGTATCCACAAGCCCACAAAATAACACACATCTATATCATAAAAAAAACAATAATTAATAATTAAAGCATGAAAAAATATGGGGTGATTGTATTGACAACCTCCCTATAAAAATATTAGTATATAAGATATGAAACCTTATTGTTATTTTCATTGAATATATGAAAGATTCAATAAATAAAAAAAAATCTTTGTTCCATTTAGATAATTTGAATTAAATAAGCGAAGGCACAAATCACACATTATGCCCAGTTGTTAACAGGGTCATAAACAGATTTGCAATAATATAATTTTTTTCTCAAAAGTACTCAAAAAGGTTTGCACCGATCCATTTTTTTAAATATGATTGAACGCTTTATTACCTTTCAACACATGTATATTGTTTCCAAAATACTTCCCAATACCGAAAGTTCTACTCCAAATGGCACACGAACAAAAACAAAAAGTAGCAAATATACTACACCAAATAAAATTCTTAGACCATTGACTTTCACAACAGAAAATACGGTTTTAACGTGAAGCCCATTCGATATATAGATCACGAAACCTCCACCCCTGTTAGGTATTAACCTATATCCTGGAATAGCTACAGATATATCCAATATATCTAGTGACAAGTATGCTCTAAAATGGCTAATACATCCAAAACCTAATCCTTCAAAATAGATTTAAGCTCATATTTTTTAAGGAAGTTTAAGACTTCTGCAGTTCCAGTGACCTATTTTTTAGTTGATTAAAGTAAGGTTGGCAGACATCATTTTGTTTGAAATAGCATGCGATGGGAAGGCAAAACAAATAGAATAATAAAGATGAAATAAAAAAACACTAGATAATAATTTTTGCAACATAATATACAATTTAATTTTTAATACAAAATAACATACAATACTTGATAACACAGGTGATCGTAAAAAATATTAATGATATCATACATGCAATCAGTGTAATAGTATAAAATACTGCTACATGGACCAAACCTCGGATTGCTGTAATAAGCACCAGAAAAAATAAGTGCCTCCCTTCGTCACTACCTTCTACCCACATGCCGACTTTGGGCAAGTCCTTATTTTTTTGTGTTCCAAAAGTCGCACTCTTAAAAAAATGCATAACTATAAATATTTTACGAAAATATTCTTATCTAAACAGTTTTTTTTTTTTGACAATTTTTTAATGTTTTAAAAAGACCTATTGATTTTTTTAATTTTTAATATAGTTACGTATCTTTTACATTTGGCGTCTTTACCAATTTTTTTTCTAAAGAATATGCATTGTCTCGTTTATGCTGAAGGACCTTCATAGACGAAAATGTCAATTTTAAGGGAATAAATCATCTTTTCTTCAAGAAATTTTACAAATATTGGCATTATATTGGAAGTTTTTATACATTTTTTATTTATTTGAATAAAAATTTGAAAAATGCCTACTACTGGGACATGCCGAACTTAGGCGCACTTTAACTTATTCCATTTTCAAACTTCATATAATGCTGATGAAATTATTGGAATGTACAAAGTTTAAATAAAAAAAAAAACAAAATATTTTTCCAAATGTATTCAAATAGTTGTTAACAAAAATGAAGAAATGTTTAAATACACGATGTTTGAAGATAATCCCTGCCTTCCTTTTCATGTATAAGATTTATGATTGTTCAAAATTTTGAGCCTTGTGGAGAAGGTGGTAAAAGGAGCGGGCCGATAACTTCCATATTCACATCAGATCTCTGGTTGATAAAAATGTTGTAATATACAAAGTTTATAATTGTTCAACCTGTTGATTCATTGTGGGAAAGGTACCAGGAGATGGGGCCACATCTCCACACTAGACCTTGTGTTGGTAGAATATTTAGGATATGCTATGTTTGAAAAGAAAGTGATGCTCATTCTGTGTTTTATGAGTGTCATGGTTATTCAAAATTTTGATCCGTTGTGGGGTAGGTACAAAAATGAGTAGACCCCTATATCAAATTTTGTGTTGATGTTGAAAGAGTGGTCCGTTCTATCCGTTCTTCATATCAGATCTTGTGTTGGTAGACATATTATGATTACCAACACCGGCCGTTAAACTATTGTTATTTATATTTAACAGCATTCTTCGAGTAGGGTACTTTCCGTCTGTATGGAAAGCATCTGAAATAGTAATGATTCCGAAACCTGGAAAAGATCCAACGCAGGTAAAATCGTATAGACCCATCAGTCTTCTATCTATACTCTGAAAGCTGTTCGAAACAACATTACTAAGGAAGTTAACTCTTCATATTACAAATAGCAATATTATCCCCGACCACCAATTCGGCTTCCGTAAGAACCACAGTACTATTGAGCAAGTGCACCGCATAGTCACAAACATTAGAATGACATTTGAAAGGAAGGAATACTGCTTGGCGCTATTTATAGACATTTCCCAAGCGTTTGACAGAGTCTGGGATCTTGGAATTCTATACAAAATTTGTGAAACTCTACCTAAAAACACTCATAAACTTTTTTGTAGTTATTTGTCAAATCGTACGTTTGTTGTTAAATCGAAAGACATTCTTTCAAATTCGAGAAAAATATTGGCTGGCGTCCCACAGGGTAGTATCTTAGGACCAATTCTGTACGTGTTATTTACTGCCGATATGCCCACAATCAATGAAACTCTAACCTCAACGTTTGCTGATGATACTGCCTTCATTAGCATACACAAGGATCCTCTGATTGCGTCGGAAAAAACTACAATACCATGTATATCTTCTCGAAAATTGGCTGACAAAATGGAGAATATCGGTAAATGCAAGCAAGTGCATACATGTTACTTTTGCTCTAAAACGTGAACTTTGCCCCACGATAAAAATCTTTAATACTCAAGTTCCACAGAAAGATACCGTATAATATCTCGGAATGCACCTGGACCGAAGACTTACATGGAAGCAACACATCGATGCAAAAATCACACAAATTAAACTAAAAAAGGCCAATCTTGAATGGTTAATTGGTATACGTTCTTCTATTAAATTAGAATATAAAGTCCTATTATATAAGACTATAATAAAGCCAATTTGGACGTATGGCATACAGCTCTGGGCACAGCTAGTGCCTCCAACGTAGGTAAACTACAAAGAAGACAGTCGAATATTCTTCGATCTATTACAGGTGCACGATGGTACATAAGGAACGCAAACATCCACAATGACCTAAATATACTTACTGTTGAAGAAGAAATAAAGAAGCTTTGCCGCAAGTACTTAAACCAACTATCCGAGCACCCAAATAACTTGGCCCGCCAACTCCTACTATTCGGAGGACACGATAGACTGCGCAGACGTGACACTCTTTCTATCATATAGTTTATTTTTTTGTCTTACGCTCTCATTATTTTTAGCTCTTGTCTGGCCAATTGAACGTCGCCCACTGTTATACTTCTACAGGTAGTAGTATGCTAAATTAGAAGCTGCTTCTGTGAAGAAATCGAAAAGACTATTACTGTAGTCAGCGGGAAGATTAGTGAAGAAATCGCTAAGACTATTACTGTAGTCCGCGGGATGATTAGATAATACTGTATCTAAACAAAGCAACATTATATCCGTAAGACTATTTCTGTAGTCCGCGATTCACTTAGATATATCTGTATCTAACCTAATCTTAACTACCTACTCAATCAATTCACGGATATAACTGTATCCACAAGCCCACAAAATAACACACATCTATATCATAAAAAAAAACTATAATTAATAATTAAAGCATGAAAAAATATGGGGTGATTGTATTGACAACCTCCCTATAAAAATATTAGTATATAAGATATGAAACCTTATTGTTATTTTCATTGAATATATGAAAGATTCAATAAATTAAAAAAAAATCTTTGTTCCATTTAGATAATTTGAATTAAATTAGCGAAGGCACAAATCACACATTGTGCACAGTTGTTAACAGGGTCATAAACAGATTTGCAATAATATAATTTTTTTCTCAAAAGTACTCAAAAAGGTTTGCACCGATCCATTTTTTTAAATATGATTGAACGCTTTATTACTTTTCAACACATGTATATTGTTTCCAAAATACTTCCCAATACCGAAAGTTCTACTCCAAATGGCACACGAACAAAAACAAAAAGTAGCAAATATACTACACCAAATAAAATTCTTAGACCATTGACTTTCACAACAGAAAATACGGTTTTAACGTGAAGCCCATTCGATATATAGATCACGAAACCTCCACCCCTGTTAGGTATTAACCTATATCCTGGAATAGCTACAGATATATTCAATATATCTAGTGACAAGTATGCTCTAAAATGGCTAATACATCCAAAACCTAATCCTTCAAAATAGATTTAAGCTCATATTTTTTAAGGAAGTTTAAGACTTCTGCAGTTCCAGTGACCTATTTTTTAGTTGATTAAAGTAAGGTTGGCAGACATCATTTTGTTTGAAATAGCATGCGATGGGAAGGCAAAACAAATAGAATAATAAAGATGAAATAAAAAAACACTAGATAATAATTTTTGCAACATAATATACAATTTAATTTTTAATACAAAATAACATACAATACTTGATAACACAGGTGATCGTAAAAAATATTAATGATATCATACATGCAATCAGTGTAATAGTATAAAATACTGCTACATGGACCAAACCTCGGATTGCTGTAATAAGCACCAGAAAAAATAAGTGCCTCCCTTCGTCACTACCTTCTACCCACATGCCGACTTTGGGCAAGTCCTTATTTTTTTTGTGTTCCAAAAGTCGCACTCTTAAAAAAATGCATAACTATAAATATTTTACGAAAATATTCTTATCTAAACAGTTTTTTTTTTTTTTGACAATTTTTTAATGTTTTAAAAAGACCTATTGATTTTTTTTTAATTTTTAATATAGTTACGTATCTTTTACATTTGGCGTCTTTACCAATTTTTTTTCTAAAGAATATGCATTGTCTCGTTTATGCTGAAGGACCTTCACAGACGAAAATGTCAATTTTAAGGGAAAAAATCATCTTTTCTTCAAGAAATTTTACAAATATTGGCATTATATTGGAAGTTTTTATACATTTTTTTATTTATTTGAATAAAAATTTGAAAAATGCCTACTACTGGGACATGCCGAACTTAGGCGCACTTTAACCTATTCCATTTTCAAACTTCATATAATGCTGATGAAATTATTGGAATGTACAAAGTTTAAATAAAAAAAAAAACAAAATATTTTTCCAAATGTATTCAAATAGTTGTTAACAAAAATGAAGAAATGTTTAAATACACGATGTTTGAAGATAATCCCTGCCTTCCTTTTCATGTATAAGATTTATGATTGTTCAAAATTTTGAGCCTTGTGGAGAAGGTGGTAAAAGGAGCGGGCCGATAACTTCCATATTCACATCAGATCTCTGGTTGATAAAAATGTTGTAATATACAAAGTTTATAATTGTTCAACCTGTTGATTCATTGTGGGAAAGGTACCAGGAGATGGGGCCACATCTCCACACTAGACCTTGTGTTGGTAGAATATTTAGGATATGCTATGTTTGAAAAGAAAGTGATGCTCATTCTGTGTTTTATGAGTGTCATGGTTATTCAAAATTTTGATCCGTTGTGGGGTAGGTACAAAAATGAGTAGACCCCTATATCAAATTTTGTGTTGATGTTGAAAGAGTGGTCCGTTCTATCCGTTCTTCATATCAGATCTTGTGTTGGTAGACATATTATGATGTACGGTATTTGAAGACAATAATTCTATTATTTCTTATTTCACATTTTATAAGGTGGGGGATTAGCGTTCCTGTTACACCATTCTATTCAATACAGACCTATCTCGCCTGAGCTAGTCCTTAGTGGCCCATACATGGAATGTGGGTGGGGTAGCAGTCAAGTGTGGAGGTAGAGGTGCTTAATGTGTATATCCCGCCAGTTAATAACTGTGAACCGCGTTTCTTGCCTAATATAAGTCCACTTTTGGAAGGCAATAACCACCTGGTACTAGGGGATTTCAATGCCCACCATGAGTTGTGGCATTCCGTCCTAGGTAATGACCAGAGGGGATCAGCGTTGGCAGAGCAGATTGACTGCTCCACATTTTGCACGGTAAACGAGGATGCCCCCACCCGCATAAGAAGAGAGTGTCACAGTTTTGATGTTTTGCAACATTGAAACCGATTTAAGTAAACTGTGGGTAACGTAAAGTCACTCTTGAACCCTGGGAAAAAGGATGATAGGACTGCAGTTACACATAACGACGTAACGGTGACTGATCCGAAGAGGTGCGCTGGTCATTTTAACCGCCAATTCGTCGAGCACCCTGAGAGTGACAGGGCGAGACGAAGAGTACTACGTCGTATAAGAGCTCTTCCCTCCGAGGATGTACCTCCACAGTTTACGATGGGTAATGTTGCGAATGTCATACGAAACGCTAAGTCGCGTTGGGCCCGGACGGAATATCAATGTTGAAGCAACTTCACACCGGGAGTTGAGTATCTAACCAAAGTCCTTAACTTGTCAAAAACGTCGGCTGCCTAGGCAGACCAGGGTAGTTTTGACCCAACTACCTTCAAGATTGTGCAGCCGTCTCAATTCGTGTTGGACACGAATTGACGAAGATGTGCGGAACGCCTGCCCAGCATGCGATACTGGCCCGCACAATACGCCGCATCTGTTTAACCCTTTCAGTGTCAATGAAAATTTTTGTCGAGATAAAAATCTGAAATTCCGTACTAATTTACTAAAATGTGCTCAGAAATTCGAAAACGAAACTAATAGAATAGAACTGCAATATTTTTAAATAGCGTACGTGTCTGTTATTAAAAAATATCAAAAATAACGGTTCGTAAGAAAAACAAGAAATGGCAAAGAAAGAGAGTACTTTTAAATGTCAAATATATTTGACAAAAACACTGAAAGGGTTAATTGTCCAACTCGGTCCAGAGGATATCTGGCTACAGCCCATAAAGGTAGCAGAATTCCTAAACCTGGACATTGAGGAAGAACCGGATTAATCAGAATATAAACAATGGAGCATGTTAACACTGCTACAACAACAACTGTTGATAACACATACCCATTTATACTATAATTTAATTTTAATTTAGGGTTAGATTTAAAAAAAACACATATGCTTACACTTTTTTAAATTCAACTCCATGCCATTGAGTTGACGCCAATTAAAAAGCCTATTTAAATCTCTTTACAGTAAGTCAAAATGAGTCAAGAAGATTTATGAGTCAAGAATAATTTTAAATCTTCAGCGTACTTTAATAATTTTAGAATACTCAATTGAATTTGGTAGATCATTAGCAAACCATAGAAATAGAGCTGGCCCCAGGATGACTTCCTTGTGGAACACCAGATGGAACATCAAGAGATTTAGAATGGCAATTTCAAACAAAACTATCTGTGAACTATCGCACAAATAGGATGAAATCCATAAAACCAAGTAACTATTAAATAATTTACGTTTGAATAAAAGTAACCTATGATTGACTTCATCAAAGGCTTTGCTGAAATCGGTATAATTTATATCAGTTTATTTGTTGTGAACAAACCCTATAATTACCTCTCATAAAAATTGGATAAGATTAGTAATGGTTGAGAGTCTACTGCGGAAACCATGTTGAAATGGACTTAGAAAGATATGATTTTATGGGAAATTACGTCAGTAATTAATTTTTCAAATGGAATGGCTGTCAATTTTGCAATTCCTCTATAATTGGAAACATCTACTAAGCTGCCGGATTAATGTAGATGAAGCAAATACAATTGTTTCCAATCACAAGGGAAATGACCAAATTCAAGTGAATAATGGTACTGCAATGTTAAAGGGACCTACAAGGTATTTTAACAGAATTGTAATATTATACTGGAAACATCTTCCGGACCCAGAATGTATTGCTTTAAATTACGTGGACCTGTTGAAATTGACAATAAAGTATAGTTACTTCAGGAAATCCTGGTAATTTATATGGATAGAAAAAATTTTGCGGAAAGTTGTCATAATAGGCAGACGCGAAACACTTAGCAAAATATTCAGCGATTTCAGTATCGGAATATGTTCATAATTATCGACTTTTAATAAACAAGATTTAGAATATGTTTCTTTCTAAATTTACAAATGGACTTTGGATTACATTTAAATTTGTTTACCCTCCACATTGAAAAGGGGGGAATATTAACTTTGTCATCCCGTTTGTAACATCCCTAAATGTTCGTTGTAGACCCCATAAAGTTCTAAGTCGATTTAACGATGAAGTGGTGCGCTGGCCATTTACGATGTCCGTTTGTCTGTTGAAATCACGATACCGCCCACATTATTGACGCAGAGCTTCAAAATTTGGCAGAACAATTTGTATTGTGTTTAAATGAGATTTTGGAATAGCCGCCATATAACACACATCCCGAAATTCGGTATTTTGATGATTTTTGCCAATTCCACAAATTTGTCTAAAAATTGGTATTTGTAGTTCATAATGGATTCTAGCTCCGGCTGTGAAACATTGTATGCATAGCACCTCTTTTTTGTATAGCCGTATATATTATATTATAATTGTACCTCCCTATATTCGGTATTTTTATGATGTTTGCCACATTCCAAAGATATGTCTAAAAATTGGTATTTGTAGTTCATAATGGATTAAGGTCCATTTTTTGTATTGTCCCCATAATTTCCGATTTTCGGTGTTTTGATAATTTTTGACACATTATTCCATGGATTTGTCCCAAAGTTGGTATTTGTAGTACGTAATAGGTTCTGGCTCCTGTGGCGAAACATTGAAAATTTATGTCCACGTTTTCCTATAGCGCACATATAACTATACTCACAGATACTCGGTATTTTAATAATCCTAGTCACATTTACCCCCAAAATTGTTCCAAATTTTGTATTTAAGAAGATTTGGTAGATGACAATCCTTGAAGTATAAAATTGTCTATGGAGGTTCCCGTTTTGGTATGGCCCCGATACAACGGCCTCACTCACTTCATGGTATTTTAAAAAGTTTTCCAACATTATCCAAACGGTCTTACTGATACTATAATTATACTACTCAGTGACATTAATATACACACTGTTAGATGATAATTATCTTCGGGTGTTAAGATAGCAGGGATTCTTAAAATTTTAAAATACTGTGTGATATTAACAAATGCTAAATCAAGATTTTTTCAAAAGTTTTTTCTATACTATTTGTTTGATGAAGGTCTAAATCGCAAAAAATGGTTACATTTCCCAGATGGGGTTAAAGGAATCATTGATTCTGAATCTGGCAATGAGATCAACTTAATGGATGGCATGTTAAAATCTCCAAGGGCCAAAATATAATCAATAACATCCACTTTCTAAACTATTGGTGATATTGCTGAAATATGGCGATAATATAAGACAGCGTCTGACGATGGAGGTATATGAGAGCATGTGAGAAAAAAATTACGTTTGTCCAAATCGACAATTGTGCTGATAAATTCTATATCATTAAAATCTTTTATTTCAAATATATTGGAGGGATATGTTGCATCTACAACAATAATAACACCCCACCTTGTATATTTATACGATCTTTGCGATATAACTGACATTTTGGACATACAATTTCGGGTATCAAATAAATGGCTTAAACCAAGTTTCGGAAAATGATAAACTGTTGTAATCAAAGGCAAAACTATCAGCGTATAAGCGATATAATTGAAATTTTATCCCCCTTAAATTCTGATAGCAAATTGATAAATCATTATTTAGTTTTTTTTAGTAAGTGAGGTATATGAGCTAAATTTTCTGTTTTTTTTTTTTTCTACAAATTCTATTACAAATGCTTTAGCAGGCCAAAATTCATTCGTAATTACTTTATCGAAAAGATTTTGAGGTAAAACAACATCAAAAGAAGATCTGTTTACATACATATCTTAAACATATTTTTATTTATATCAGTAGTAGTCGATTGATTTTACCAAATAGATAATCGGTTGTTTCTTTTTAGGTATTTAATAATGGTAGATGGAACCAGGAGTATTCAGTACAAGAAGTCTATGAAGAAGGTTGTAAGGAAGTAACTGAAAACACCATGGCGGCCTCATTAAAAACACATTGCTACTGCCGAGGAGATTTGTGCAATAAATCAAATAAAATTTTTAATGTAAAAACTGTCATTGTGATAACTGCGCTTGGTGCACTTATGATATGTTTCCAAAATAAATATATTTAAGTGTGAAAGAATCTCTACTCTAAACATGGTGTTCTATCGTATGTCTTGGTACACATTCGTATTAAATAATAATTGTGATAAGTTAATTGTGAATAAATAAAGTACATGAGATTATTATGTGTAAAAATTTGGTATTATTTGTATACTTTCATTTCACTTCATTTTTTCAAAAAGAAGTCGTTCGATGTATATATCAAATGTTTGTTCTCCATAGGTTCATGATATCAGCCATATGGCCACAGAGGGTGTATATAATTGGATACAGCAAAAATGTAAAAAAATGCTGGTGCGCACATTGATCTTAAAATATAATAATATGAAAGAAGATGTAAGAAGACTCCGTTTATCAAATTTCATATTTCGCATATTCCAAAAATTCTACCAACTCTATATATTTTATGGAGACGTGGTGGATCGGACTACTCCTTGTACCTTCTACACAACGGGTTAAAATGTTAAATTCTAATAACCCTCATAAAATGCAAAAAGAGCATCCGACTGTTTTCAAACTTGGTACATCATAATATTTCTACCAACACAAGACCTGGTGTGAAGATGGTATAAATCGTACCATTACTTCTGGTTAATCCCTCACACAGTGTCAAAGTTTTGAATAATCATAATTCTTATAAAATCTAATAATTCTCGTAAAATATGAAATGTCCGACCACCTTCAAATTTCGCATATACCAATATTTCCACCAACTTTATACCTTATACCGGACCACTCCATTTCATATATGGTCTGTCAAATTTTAATCTTTAATGGCCGTATGCCTGTCATCTGATTTAAAAAAATTAGTTTGGTTGCAGAGAACGACAAGCAAAATAATGCAGTTATTCTCTAGAAAGCTTAAATATTTTACAACAAAAAACACCGAGGCTCATTTTTTGTCCTATGAAAATCTGATTTGAGAATAAAGGCGACAAATATCATTTGGAAATTTTTATAAAGAACATATTTTTATTTTTATATTTTCGTAGAACGAAAATCCAGTCTCCGGCCAGTCTCCAACTTAGCTATATTTGAAAAATGTGCACAAGGAAACATTATCATCAGCGAAGATTCAATAATACGACCTCAACTTTTATCAGCCAACTTGGGATGCATTATGTGGGATATTAGAATATTTTAGAAGTTTATAACGTTATATACAGGTTTATATCATTTACAAATTTTCAACAGTCGAAAACCTAGAAACTGTCTAACTGGCTTCATAGTTCTACACCCATAGAGGACATAAAAGATGCTCTCGCAGCAGAAGGATTCGAAACAAAGTCTATCATCAACATTTTCAATAAAGATAAAGTTCCGCAACCTATGTTTAAAGTAGAACTAACATACGAATCTTCGCAACTAAAGAAAAAAGGCAATTTCATCCAATTTATAGCCTTAGGCTTCTTTGTAATCGCGGTGTGAAAATTGAAGAACCTCAAAAAAGAAAAGGCCAACCTCAATGTACAAACTGCCAAGAGTATGGGCATACCAAAACGTATTGTAAATTGCTATCGGTTTGTGTTACTTGTGGTGACCTCCACAAATCATCGGAATATCCACATCCCAAAACTGACCCAAGCGTCAAAAAGTGCAGCAATTGCGGTGGAAATCATACTGCAAACTACAGAGGATGTCCTGTATATATCCACTTAACAAAATCTAGCTTAGCCACAAAAAAGCCTACAAGCTACCGGGTACGGGAAAATCCACAATTTAATATCAAAACAGCTGAGTTCCCTGAGCTAAACAAGAGGAATGAAACCACCGCTCCTAATTACAATCTCCCCTCACAGAATATGCAATACTTATATTCTGATACTTTGAGAAATGACTCACCCAACTATAAAAATTCAAATATAGAATCATCTCGAAAAACTAATCGTCACCATGAATTCTTTTATGACAAGTATGCAAAGCATGATGCAAGATATTGTGAGAAATCAATCTATGATTATGCAAATAGTTTTAAAACAGAAATAGATAAAATTCGAATATATTTTTGGAACGCAAACGGCTTAAGCCAACATAAACACGAGGTCGAAAACTTTATTCACTCACTCAACATACACATTTTACTGGTATCTGAAACTCATTTCACTTCTAGAAACTGTTTTAGAATAAACGGTTACAGTACATACGACACTAAACATCCAGTGGGAGAGCTTGCGGTGGCACCGCGGTGATAATTTCTAATAAAATTCAGCTCTACCCCATGCCAGAATATAAGTTTGACCACCTACAAGCTACAACAGTTGCACTAACTTCAACGAATACAGCTATATCTGCTATATATTGTCCTCCGAGACATAGTATAAGAAAAGATGAATTCGCACACTTTTTCTCATCTCTTGGTAGTAGATTCATTGCAGCTGGAGATTATAATGCCAAACACACCTTCTGGGGATCTAGACTTATTACACCCAGAGGTAGACAGCTTTTAAACTCCATTTCGTCCGCTAAACTGGACGTGTTATCTACTGGCCAGCCTACTTACTGGCCTTCAGACCTGCAAAAACGTCCTGACTTAATTGACTTTGCGGTAACAAAGAATATTAAGAGGGAACAAATGTCCGTGGTACCCTCGTTTGACTTGTCGTCAGACCATTCCCCAACTATAATAACATTAAATGATGTTCAACTCGCAACTTCCCAGGGTTATCTACCAAATAAATATACAAACTGGATGAAGTACAAAAAATATGTCAGTACACATGTGAATTCTAACACTCCTCTAAAGTCCGCAGAAGAAATTGACAATGCAGTTAAAATATTTACTTCGATAGTCAACACCACTGTCAATGTTGCCACTCCCACTAAATTTTCAAAACTAGAAAATAATTCCTATAATCCATCGACCATTCGAAAACTCGTGTCTGATAAAAGGAAGGCCAGAAGAGAATGGCAGAAGTACCGACCACCTAGGTTTCGGGAAAAACTAAAAGAATGTGAAAAACTCTTACAACAAGCACTCAGATTAAATGAAGAACGAAACCTAAAAATATTCCTAAATAACCTGGATCCCACGGAGAGAACCGACTACAGCTTATGGAAAGCCACAAAAAACTTGAAAAGACCTATTGCCCACGAATCTCCAATTCGCCTAGAAAATGGGACTTGGGCAAGATCTACAGAAGAAAAAGTAAACGCATTTGCCGAACATCTTGAATCTGTATTTACCCCAAATCCCGGACCATCGACAGTTGTTCAACCTTTAATTGACGACATTGTTAAGAATCCAATACGATTTTCTCTAAAAGAAATCGAAAGTTCTAAAGCCTCGATAAAACTAAAAAAATCCCCGGGTAAAGATAGAATTACTCCAAGCATCCTCAAGAAATTACCAACACCGGCCGTTAAACTATTGTTATTTATATTTAACAGCATTCTTCGAGTAGGGTACTTTCCGTCTGTATGGAAGGCATCTGAAATAGTAATGATTCCGAAACCTGGAAAAGATCCAACGCAGGTAAAATCGTATAGACCCATCAGTCTTCTATCTATACTCTCAAAGCTGTTCGAAACAACATTACTAAGGAAGTTAACTCCCCATATTACAAATAGCAATATTATCCCCGACCACCAATTCGGCTTCCGTAAGAACCACAGTACTATTGAGCAAGTGCACCGCATAGTCACAAACATTAGAATGACATTCGAAAGGAAGGAATACTGCTTGGCGCTATTTATAGACATTTCCCAAGCGTTTGACAGAGTCTGGGATCTTGGAATTCTATACAAAATTTGTGAAACTCTACCTAAAAACACTCATAAACTTTTTTGTAGTTATTTGTCAAATCGTACGTTTGTTGTTAAATCGAAAGACATTCTTTCAAATTCGAGAAAAATATTGGCTGGCGTCCCACAGGGTAGTATCTTAGGACCAATTCTGTACGTGTTATTTACTGCCGATATGCCCACAATCAATGAAACTCTAACCTCAACGTTTGCTGATGATACTGCCTTCATTAGCATACACAAGGATCCTCTGATTGCGTCGGAAAAACTACAATACCATGTATATCTTCTCGAGAATTGGCTGACAAAATGGAGAATATCGGTAAATGCAAGCAAGTGCATACATGTTACTTTTGCTCTAAAACGTGAACTTTGCCCCACGATAAAAATCTTTAATACTCAAGTTCCACAGAAAGATACCGTATAATATCTCGGAATGCACCTGGACCGAAGACTTACATGGAAGCAACACATCGATGCAAAAATCACACAAATTAAACTAAAAAAGGCCAATCTTGAATGGTTAATTGGTATACGTTCTTCTATTAAATTAGAATATAAAGTCCTATTATATAAGACTATAATAAAGCCAATTTGGACGTATGGCATACAGCTCTGGGCACAGCTAGTGCCTCCAACGTAGGTAAACTACAAAGAAGACAGTCGAATATTCTTCGATCTATTACAGGTGCACGATGGTACATAAGGAACGCAAACATCCACAAGGACCTAAATATACTTACTGTTGAAGAAGAAATAAAGAAGCTTTGCCGCAAGTACTTAAACCAACTATCCGAGCACCCAAATAACTTGGCCCGCCAACTCCTACTATTCGGAGGACACGATAGACTGCGCAGACGTGACACTCTTTCTATCATATAGTTTATTTTTTTGTCTTACGCTCTCATTATTTTTAGCTCTTGTCTGGCCAATTGAACGTCGCCCACTGTTATACTTCTACAGGTAGTAGTATGCTAAATTAGAAGCTGCTTCTGTGAAGAAATCGAAAAGACTATTACTGTAGTCCGCGGGATGATTAGATAATACTGTATCTAAACAAAGCAACATTATATCCGTAAGACTATTTCTGTAGTCCGCGATTCACTTAGATATATCTGTATCTAACCTAATCTTAACTACCTACTCAATCAATTCACGGATATAACTGTATCCACAAGCCCACAAAATAACACACATCTATATCATAAAAAAAAACTATAATTAATAATTAAAGCATGAAAAAATATGGGGTGATTGTATTGACAACCTCCCTATAAAAATATTAGTATATAAGATATGAAACCTTATTGTTATTTTCATTGAATATATGAAAGATTCAATAAATTAAAAAAAAAATCTTTGTTCCATTTAGATAATTTGAATTAAATTAGCGAAGGCACAAATCACACATTGTGCACAGTTGTTAACAGGGTCATAAACAGATTTGCAATAATATAATTTTTTTCTCAAAAGTACTCAAAAAGGTTTGCACCGATCCATTTTTTTAAATATGATTGAACGCTTTATTACTTTTCAACACATGTATATTGTTTCCAAAATACTTCCCAATACCGAAAGTTCTACTCCAAATGGCACACGAACAAAAACAAAACGTAGCAAATATACTACACCAAATAAAATTCTTAGACCATTGACTTTCACAACAGAAAATACGGTTTTAACGTGAAGCCCATTCGATATATAGATCACGAAACCTCCACCCCTGTTAGGTATTAACCTATATCCTGGAATAGCTACAGATATATCCAATATATCTAGTGACAAGTATGCTCTAAAATGGCTAATACATCCAAAACCTAATCCTTCAAAATAGATTTAAGCTCATATTTTTTAAGGAAGTTTAAGACTTCTGCAGTTCCAGTGACCTATTTTTTAGTTGATTAAAGTAAGGTTGGCAGACATCATTTTGTTTGAAATAGCATGCGATGGGAAGGCAAAACAAATAGAATAATAAAGATGAAATAAAAAAACACTAGATAATAATTTTTGCAACATAATATACAATTTAATTTTTAATACAAAATAACATACAATACTTGATAACACAGGTGATCGTAAAAAATATTAATGATATCATACATGCAATCAGTGTAATAGTATAAAATACTGCTACATGGACCAAACCTCGGATTGCTGTAATAAGCACCAGAAAAAATAAGTGCCTCCCTTCGTCACTACCTTCTACCCACATGCCGACTTTGGGCAAGTCCTTATTTTTTTTGTGTTCCAAAAGTCGCACTCTTAAAAAAATGCATAACTATAAATATTTTACGAAAATATTCTTATCTAAACAGTTTTTTTTTTTTGACAATTTTTTAATGTTTTAAAAAGACCTATTGATTTTTTTTTAATTTTTAATATAGTTACGTATCTTTTACATTTGGCGTCTTTACCAATTTTTTTTCTAAAGAATATGCATTGTCTCGTTTATGCTGAAGGACCTTCACAGACGAAAATGTCAATTTTAAGGGAAAAAATCATCTTTTCTTCAAGAAATTTTACAAATATTGGCATTATATTGGAAGTTTTTATACATTTTTTTATTTATTTGAATAAAAATTTGAAAAATGCCTACTACTGGGACATGCCGAACTTAGGCGCACTTTAACCTATTCCATTTTCAAACTTCATATAATGCTGATGAAATTATTGGAATGTACAAAGTTTAAATAAAAAAAAAAACAAAATATTTTTCCAAATGTATTCAAATAGTTGTTAACAAAAATGAAGAAATGTTTAAATACACGATGTTTGAAGATAATCCCTGCCTTCCTTTTCATGTATAAGATTTATGATTGTTCAAAATTTTGAGCCTTGTGGAGAAGGTGGTAAAAGGAGCGGGCCGATAACTTCCATATTCACATCAGATCTCTGGTTGATAAAAATGTTGTAATATACAAAGTTTATAATTGTTCAACCTGTTGATTCATTGTGGGAAAGGTACCAGGAGATGGGGCCACATCTCCACACTAGACCTTGTGTTGGTAGAATATTTAGGATATGCTATGTTTGAAAAGAAAGTGATGCTCATTCTGTGTTTTATGAGTGTCATGGTTATTCAAAATTTTGATCCGTTGTGGGGTAGGTACAAAAATGAGTAGACCCCTATATCAAATTTTGTGTTGATGTTGAAAGAGTGGTCCTTCTATCCGTTCTTCATATCAGATCTTGTGTTGGTAGACATATTATGATGTACGGTATTTGAAGACAATAATTCTATTATTTCTTATTTCACATTTTATAAGGTGGGGGATTAGCGTTCCTGTTACACCATTCTATTCAATACAGACCTATCTCGCCTGAGCTAGTCCTTAGTGGCCCATACATGGAATGTGGGTGGGGTAGCAGTCAAGTGTGGAGGTAGAGGTGCTTAATGTGTATATCCCGCCAGTTAATAACTGTGAACCGCGTTTCTTGCCTAATATAAGTCCACTTTTGGAAGGCAATAACCACCTGGTACTAGGGGATTTCAATGCCCACCATGAGTTGTGGCATTCCGTCCTAGGTAATGACCAGAGGGGATCAGCGTTGGCAGAGCAGATTGACTGCTCCACATTTTGCACGGTAAACGAGGATGCCCCCACCCGCATAAGAAGAGAGTGTCACAGTTTTGATGTTTTGCAACATTGAAACCGATTTAAGTAAACTGTGGGTAACGTAAAGTCACTCTTGAACCCTGGGAAAAAGGATGATAGGACTGCAGTTACACATAACGACGTAACGGTGACTGATCCGAAGAGGTGCGCTGGTCATTTTAACCGCCAATTCGTCGAGCACCCTGAGAGTGACAGGGCGAGACGAAGAGTACTACGTCGTATAAGAGCTCTTCCCTCCGAGGATGTACCTCCACAGTTTACGATGGGTAATGTTGCGAATGTCATACGAAACGCTAAGTCGCGTTGGGCCCGGACGGAATATCAATGTTGAAGCAACTTCACACCGGGAGTTGAGTATCTAACCAAAGTCCTTAACTTGTCAAAAACGTCGGCTGCCTAGGCAGACCAGGGTAGTTTTGACCCAACTACCTTCAAGATTGTGCAGCCGTCTCAATTCGTGTTGGACACGAATTGACGAAGATGTGCGGAACGCCTGCCCAGCATGCGATACTGGCCCGCACAATACGCCGCATCTGTTTAACCCTTTCAGTGTCAATGAAAATTTTTGTCGAGATAAAAATCTGAAATTCCGTACTAATTTACTAAAATGTGCTCAGAAATTCGAAAACGAAACTAATAGAATAGAACTGCAATATTTTTAAATAGCGTACGTGTCTGTTATTAAAAAATATCAAAAATAACGGTTCGTAAGAAAAACAAGAAATGGCAAAGAAAGAGAGTACTTTTAAATGTCAAATATATTTGACAAAAACACTGAAAGGGTTAATTGTCCAACTCGGTCCAGAGGATATCTGGCTACAGCCCATAAAGGTAGCAGAATTCCTAAACCTGGACATTGAGGAAGAACCGAATTAATCAGAATATAAACAATGGAGCATGTTAACACTGCTACAACAACAACTGTTGATAACACATACCCATTTATACTATAATTTAATTTTAATTTAGGGTTAGATTTAAAAAAAACACATATGCTTACACTTTTTTAAATTCAACTCCATGCCATTGAGTTGACGCCAATTAAAAAGCCTATTTAAATCTCTTTACAGTAAGTCAAAATGAGTCAAGAAGATTTATGAGTCAAGAATAATTTTAAATCTTCAGCGTACTTTAATAATTTTAGAATACTCAATTGAATTTGGTAGATCATTAGCAAACCATAGAAATAGAGCTGGCCCCAGGATGACTTCCTTGTGGAACACCAGATGGAACATCAAGAGATTTAGAATGGCAATTTCAAACAAAACTATCTGTGAACTATCGCACAAATAGGAAGAAATCCATAAAACCAAGTAACTATTAAATAATTTACGTTTGAATAAAAGTAACCTATGATTGACTTCATCAAAGGCTTTGCTGAAATCGGTATAATTTATATCAGTTTATTTGTTGTGAACAAACCCTATAATTACCTCTCATAAAAATTGGATAAGATTAGTAATGGTTGAGAGTCTACTGCGGAAACCATGTTGAAATGGACTTAGAAAGATATGATTTTATGGGAAATTACGTCAGTAATTAATTTTTCAAATGGAATGGCTGTCAATTTTGCAATTCCTCTATAATTGGAAACATCTACTAAGCTGCCGGATTAATGTAGATGAAGCAAATACAATTGTTTCCAATCACAAGGGAAATGACCAAATTCAAGTGAATAATGGTACTGCAATGTTAAAGGGACCTACAAGGTATTTTAACAGAATTGTAATATTATACTGGAAACATCTTCCGGACCCAGAATGTATTGCTTTAAATTACGTGGACCTGTTGAAATTGACAATAAAGTATAGTTACTTCAGGAAATCCTGGTAATTTATATGGATAGAAAAAATTTTGCGGAAAGTTGTCATAATAGGCAGACGCGAAACACTTAGCAAAATATTCAGCGATTTCAGTATCGGAATATGTTCATAATTATCGACTTTTAATAAACAAGATTTAGAATATGTTTCTTTCTAAATTTACAAATGGACTTTGGATTACATTTAAATTTGTTTACCCTCCACATTGAAAAGGGGGGAATATTAACTTTGTCATCCCGTTTGTAACATCCCTAAATGTTCGTTGTAGACCCCATAAAGTTCTAAGTCGATTTAACGATGAAGTGGTGCGCTGGCCATTTACGATGTCCGTTTGTCTGTTGAAATCACGATACCGCCCACATTATTGACGCAGAGCTTCAAAATTTGGCAGAACAATTTGTATTGTGTTTAAATGAGATTTTGGAATAGCCGCCATATAACACACATCCCGAAATTCGGTATTTTGATGATTTTTGCCAATTCCACAAATTTGTCTAAAAATTGGTATTTGTAGTTCATAATGGATTCTAGCTCCGGCTGTGAAACATTGTATGCATAGCACCTCTTTTTTGTATAGCCGTATATATTATATTATAATTGTACCTCCCTATATTCGGTATTTTTATGATGTTTGCCACATTCCAAAGATATGTCTAAAAATTGGTATTTGTAGTTCATAATGGATTAAGGTCCATTTTTTGTATTGTCCCCATAATTTCCGATTTTCGGTGTTTTGATAATTTTTGACACATTATTCCATGGATTTGTCCCAAAGTTGGTATTTGTAGTACGTAATAGGTTCTGGCTCCTGTGGCGAAACATTGAAAATTTATGTCCACGTTTTCCTATAGCGCACATATAACTATACTCACAGATACTCGGTATTTTAATAATCCTAGTCACATTTACCCCCAAAATTGTTCCAAATTTTGTATTTAAGAAGATTTGGTAGATGACAATCCTTGAAGTATAAAATTGTCTATGGAGGTTCCCGTTTTGGTATGGCCCCGATACAACGGCCTCACTCACTTCATGGTATTTTAAAAAGTTTTCCAACATTATCCAAACGGTCTTACTGATACTATAATTATACTACTCAGTGACATTAATATACACACTGTTAGATGATAATTATCTTCGGGTGTTAAGATAGCAGGGATTCTTAAAATTTTAAAATACTGTGTGATATTAACAAATGCTAAATCAAGATTTTTTCAAAAGTTTTTTCTATACTATTTGTTTGATGAAGGTCTAAATCGCAAAAAATGGTTACATTTCCCAGATGGGGTTAAAGGAATCATTGATTCTGAATCTGGCAATGAGATCAACTTAATGGATGGCATGTTAAAATCTCCAAGGGCCAAAATATAATCAATAACATCCACTTTCTAAACTATTGGTGATATTGCTGAAATATGGCGATAATATAAGACAGCGTCTGACGATGGAGGTATATGAGAGCATGTGAGAAAAAAATTACGTTTGTCCAAATCGACAATTGTGCTGATAAATTCAATATCATTAAAATCTTTTATTTCAAATATATTGGAGGGATATGTTGCATCTACAACAATAATAACACCCCATCTTGTATATTTATACGATCTTTGCGATATAACTGACATTTTGGACATACAATTTCGGGTATCAAATAAATGGCTTTAACCAAGTTTCGGAAAATGATAAACTGTTGTAATCAAAGGCAAAACTATCAGCGTATAAGCGATATAATTGAAATTTTATCCCCCTTAAATTCTGATAGCAAATTGATAAATCATTATTTAGTTTTTTTTAGTAAGTGAGGTATATGAGCTAAATTTTCTGTTTTTTTTTTTTTTTTTTTTTCTACAAATTCTATTACAAATGCTCTAGCAGGCCAAAATTCATTCGTAATTACTTTATCGAAAAGATTTTGAGGTAAAACAACATCAAAAGAAGATCTGTTTACATACATATCTTAAACATATTTTTATTTATATCAGTAGTAGTCGATTGATTTTACCAAATAGATAATCGGTTGTTTCTTTTTAGGTATTTAATAATGGTAGATGGAACCAGGAGTATTCAGTACAAGAAGTCTATGAAGAAGGTTGTAAGGAAGTAACTGAAAACACCATGGCGGCCTCATTAAAAACACATTGCTACTGCCGAGGAGATTTGTGCAATAAATCAAATAAAATTTTTAATGTAAAAACTGTCATTGTGATAACTGCGCTTGGTGCACTTATGATATGTTTCCAAAATAAATATATTTAATGTGTGAAAGAATCTCTACCCTAAACATTGAGTTCTATCGTATGTCTTGGTACACATTCGTATTAATAATTGTGAATAAATGAAGTACATGAGATTATTATTTGTAAAAATTTGGTATTATTTGTATAATTTCATTTCACTTCATTTTTTCAAAAAGAAGTCGTTCGATGTATATATCAAATGATTGTTCTCCACAGGTTCATGATATCAGCCATATGGCCACAGAGGGTGTATATAATTGGATACAGCAAAAATGTAAAAAAATGCTGGTGCGCACATTGATCTTAAAATATAATAATATGAAAGAAGTTGAAAGAAGACTCCGATTATCAAATTTCATATTTCGCATATTCCTAAAATTCTACCAACTCTATATATTTTATGGAGACGTGGTAGATCGGACTACTCCTTGTACCTTCTACACAACGGGTTAAAATGTTAAATTCTAATAACCCTCATAAAATGCAAAAAGAGCATCCGACTGTTTGGTACATCATAATATTTCTACCAACGGTTAATCCCTCACACAGTGTCAAAGTTTTGAATAATCATAATTCTTATAAAATCTAATAATTCTCGTAAAATATGAAATGTCCGACCACCTTCAAATTTCGCATATACCAATATTTCCACCAACCTTTATACCTTATACCGGACCACTCCATTTCATATATGGTCTGTCAAATTTTAATCTTTAATAGCCGTAGGCCTGTCATTTGATTTAAAAAAATTAGTTTGGTTGCAGAGAACGACACGCAAAATAATGCAGTTATTCTCTAGAAAGCTTAAATATTTTACAACAAAAAACACCGAGGCTCATTTTTTGTCCTATGAAAATCTGATTTGAGAACAAAGGCGACAAATATCATTTGGAAATTTTTATAAAGAACATATTTTTATTTTTATATTTTCGTAGAACAAAAATCCAGTCTCCGGTCAGTCTCCAACTTAGCTATATTTGTAAAATGTACACAAGGAAACATTATCAGCAGCGAGGTTTCAATAATACGACCTCAACTTTTATCAGCCAACTAGGGATGCATTATGTGCGATATTAGAATATTTTAGAAGTTTATAACGTTATATACATGTTTATATCATTCACAAATTTTCAACAGCCGAAAGCCTAGAAACTGTCTATCTGGCCATCTTTGTTCCATTTAGATAACTTGAATTAAATTAGCGAAGGCACAAATCAGAAACAGATAAACAGATCTGCAATAATATTATTTTTTTCTCAAAAGTACTCATATATTACAACAATGGTAAGAAACATATAATTAAAAAAGTATGTTTTCACTTATTTAAATATTCGTCGTACTTCCTGGTGGGCGTTGTCGCATATACTTAGTTGTTTCTAGTTGTCCAGCAACATCTTTCGGAGAGAGTAAAGTAGTTTCATGTAGAAGTTTCATGTAGAAGGTAAACAGACGAAAACCCTACAAAAAACTTGCAAGCAATCAGATGATTTGTCAAAACAAAACAATTTGTCCGTCATAAAAAAAATGAAATACACAAAAATTAAAAATGAGTCGAAAAACAAAGCAATTAGTTTCCTAAATGAAGATGTTTTTAAATTGCTTGTCCAAATATAAATCACCGGAAGAAGAAGGGTTGCAAGAGATTACAAGAAGGAATTTGTCCTGCGAGAATTTGCAAATTTTCAGTGAAAGAACTGTCAAAAATTTTTTTTTTAAATCGCCCTCTTGCAAAACTTTTGTGTTAACAGACGTGTGTACCAGAATAATTCTGCTGGAACAGGTGAATTGCCGTTTAAAAGCTTATGAAGAGTATTTCCTACTCAATATTGAGTAGTAGTTTATTATTATTGTTTACGATTCGTTTTAGGAATCGACAAATTCGATGACTTGTAGGAATTCTATGTGCCAGGATAACCTTGACCACCTGTGCCCCTGCTAGGATATTTCTGACAGGACAATATGGGTATCACTGGAAAGCTTACGCAAATTAATTCATACTCAAATATACGATACGATTAAAAATCGCCATATTTGACGCCTTTTGTCTGAATTCTGTATAGGGATAATGTTAGTATCACTGGAAAGTTTATGAAGAGTACTTTATACCCAAATATTTCAAAGATTGAGATTCTACTACTACAGCTACTTTATCGGAATTCTAAATTTTACTTCTACTGAATAGCTAGAAAAATTCTGCCGTAACAAGTGGTTTGCGGTTGGAAATATTGAATTTAGGGGCAATGCTCGGATCATTTTTTTTTTTTATCGCAAGTAGGTATTTTTAACCTGATTAAGGGAAAGTCATTTTTTCCTGGGGGTAATACCCGGATGTTTTACAGAAAGTTCGGATGAAACATCTGGTTCTACAAAACCGATTAAGTTTACCTATTCAACAAGTGGTCATATGATGGGGTTATTGGATCCATGAAGCTTAAGCCCCGGCCGAAAAAAATCACAATTTCATGATTTGCATCAATAATATCATGTTTCATGTCAATCCGAGCATAGCCACTAAACTCAACTTAAGCATAAGTTAATACTACACGTAAGTTATGAGTAAATAAATTATAATTAATATTTGAAGAAAATTTAATTTTTCTTGTCTTTAATGTGAAATGTCCTTTCAACCTCCGATGGGTGAGAAGGTCCCTAGGGACGTTTTTGCCTTTTCAAACTGGAATTACTCCTACTTCGGCCACTACAGACACTAGGGATGATAATAAAAACAAAAACTTCTAAGAAAAATTCGAAGACATGAATTTTATTGCCGCAATTGATAATTATGAAGTTGAGCATGATGAAGATCGCACATACCAACCTGCTGAAGAGTCAAATGCCGAAACTGAAGAATACGTCGAGCTAAATGAAGATACTGATGACAACGATGATGAAGAGGAAGAAAATGATAGGAAACGAATGAAATTTACTATACTGGTAAAGATGACACCCAATGGAGTAAAAAAATACCATGCTGGTGGTGCACTCGTAATCATAACATGTTCAACTTCCTAAGAAAGAAACTATCATGACATAGGAAATAATACACTTAATACTACGTAATGACAGGGAGGATGTAGGTGCATAGAATTTGGCGAATCCAACGAAGAAAAAGGAGTGGCAGCCAGTGACAGTGAAAGAGTTTGACGCCTTTGTAGCTGGACTCACAAGATCAAGCCATGGATTAACCAGCTATGGAATTATGGAGCGCGACGCGTTGCACAATATACAAAGCTGAATTATTCGATTCGATAATTGAAATACTCGACAACGGCAAATCTGCGGCTATTGACGATATTTGGCAAATATTGCTACATAACTTGGCAGAAGCTTACACTCCTCATGGAGCACTAAAAGTTTTTAAGTAGTTGTTTCCTTACAGAGGCCGCACACATTATATTACGTCAAAGCCAGCTAAATATGGTCTCATAGAGTTTTTATCCTGTGAAGGGAATGATATATTATGGGAAACTGTCAAACCAACAACGGGAGATAAACCAAGGGCACAACGTTGTGCTGGATCTTGTGGAAAATATTTAAAATCTAGCCGTAATATATACGCGGATAATTTCTTTACCACTCTTGACTTGGCGCGTGTTTTGTTGAGGCGGAAGACTGCATATGTTGGTACAGTGCGCTACAACAAAACATTCATTCCCCAGGAGTTCAAGAAGAACCCGAAGTGCACCATCAATAGTACATTATTTTGGGTTCAACGAAGAGGATATAGCATTATGCTTATACGTGCAGGAAAAAAGTGGTGAACGTGCTCTCCAAAATGCACTACACCTGCAATGTTGACGAGCAAACCGAGAAGCGGAAGCCCTATGCCATAATAGGTTACAACGCCAATACGATTCACAACAAAATGAAGCCTATAAAAAGGAGTGGCAGATTGCTATTTGTCTCTTATTTTTCTTTTCATTCTATGTATTACCAAGACCGATGGAAGTCAATGCACAATTGTATACGGCTAATTCGAGTAGACCGTCATGTCGCCTTTGCGGGTCTGAATATGGCAGCGGAAAACGCTTGCATGATTAATTTCTGTATATGACGACAAATTGTTTTGTTTTGACAAATCAGCTAATTCCTCCTAAGTTTTTGCAGGGATTCCGTTTGTTAACTTTTAGCAGTTTTGTTGTAAAAGAGAATAAAACTGTCTTATTCTCTCAAAAGGAAGTTGCTGGACAATTCCCGCAGGAAAGTACAGATTTGGAAATTTTTTTGAAGGTGATGTTTATTACTTACAATGTTATTGGTTTAGTAACAAATTTCTACGTTGTTCATCTAATATTTTGGAATGGTCTAAAAATATAAGTTTCTATTTAACTTTTGGCGTGAGTATGACCTGCGATAATATGAAAACACTGCTCTTAAATCGACAGAAGTTGTGCAAATCGGCTTCTACAATCAGCCTTGTAGCTGCAGCGATTATTTCAGTTGTTTTGACCAAAATGTATATCATGGTAAAGGAATATAAGAAAGGGAAGGAGGTTAGCGGTAAAAAAATTATAACAAGTTCGAATCGATCTAGTTTTAAGTGGAGACTTATGTTTTAAGTGAGGATTTATTTCACACCTAGAGCAATCCAAGGGAAGGGGATTACGGGCAATAAAATATGCAAAGTTCTGATTGATACCTTGAGTTAATGTTCTTCTGTACGACTTGTGTGTAGTAAGAAAACATATATAAAACCTAGTTGTTTATGTTGTAACTAAATAGACATAGACCAATCCAATAATTTCAGCAATGAAATTTTCTCAATGCGAGTGGAGTGACGCAAAGTTTTTTTGAGGCCTTGATTTGGATGGAGAGGTGGCGAAATATTTTAAAAAAGAAAATGAAAAGGGAAACGCCAGGAGGAGATTCGGTTGAAACCCAGGAGGAAGTTCGAATGGAATACCGTGAAGATGAGAGGACTGGAGGACCTAACCGAAACTTTATTGATGAAGACCTCCTCATCATAAATGATATACTTTTGTCAGGTGATATGTCGGAAGATTTTTTAGCATCCTCTGGGGAGCCCTGCGAAGAAGATCAGGCAACACAAGAGAGTTGTTGATTTTTATCTCCCCCTCCTTTCCCAAGACATATTAAATACCAGTAATGCTATAGAAGATGACCTTGGTGGTCAAATAAGTGAAGCAGACGAGGTCTTGCAAAAATGGACAGGAGTTCAGAATGATGACGAATGCCTTATACAATTCAGTGCGGAAAGTCCACATATAAACGGAAGAGATTCAGAACCAGAACAAAGGAATTTATTAGTAGATTTAATTACATCTATTACTAAGCATATAGAACAACTAAAAATACTTGTTGAAGATTTGAAAGATTGTGATCCTGTTAAAAAAAAATTTATAAAAGATTTTAAATAAATAATTAAAAAAAATCATTTTTTATCTTACATTTATGGGAGTAGAAAATGTGCAAACATATATAAATAGCCGGTGATGTCAAGTAAAATATGAACAACAACAAACACTTAGTATGAAGGAAATGGAAATAAATAAGCAATATGCAATTGCAGGAGCATATAAAAAGCAAACAAAAAATGGAAAGTAGTATTGAAATTGGATGATTCAATTCTATACCTCCCTGCGAGATTCGTTTCCCTAGGAGAAGATGCCATGACGCAATTAAGTCAAGAAGGATTTACCAATCTCAAAAACACCTTTGCATGAAGGGAATGATAATATGTCATATAAGTTAAGATAAGGAGTTTTTTAATCCTCATACGCATCTAATACACGAATAGAAATAAAAAGATTAAGTAAATAAAAGAAATCTATATTTTAAAACAACGTAATTTTTTATTTAATGCTATGTAGCAATAATCGATTTTTTCTATAAATGTTGAATTCTACCGTAAAAGAAATTTATTACGTAATCCAGCTTTCATCATTAAAATAAATCTCTTCAATATTGGAAATTTAAAAACGCCAAACTTCGATTAAAGATATTTCACCCATGGCATTAAAAATCCTAACCCCAGCGAGATGGCAATATTATTATACTGGCGAAGCTGATAGCCTTATATGTCATGTTGGAATGTTTATGTATTTTCATAACAGCGTTAGCATTTATGCTCTTGTGTCATTATTAATTTTAGTGGACTAATATATTTCATATTTCTTATTAAATATAATTCAAATCATTTTTCTAATTCTTATTCAATAAAAATTCTAAGCATAAATGACCACAATTAAATGTATTAAAGATTTGTTTTCTCACTGTTTAATTTACATTAGCGTTTTGCTACGTTAACAATGGGTTAACGCCTAATTACTTGTAAATGATTAACATCGTTGAAATCTGTCAATGTCAACAGATTTCAACGAGTGGCGAATGGCGACAACGCCACCTTACTTCATGTTGGGATCGTTGTTTTGTTGTTAAACTCTTCCTTCTTCTATCGCGTCGATACGAACGAAGGCTCTCCCCGCTATTGTGCAAAAAAGTAATATTGTTTACCAAATCCTTTATATTATTTATCAATAAAGCCTGGCTTTTGCTTTATTTTATCTTTTAAAACTAACCCCACTATTGTGTTTTTATTTATTTTATTTGTTACATTGGTTTGCTTTGCAAATCCCCCTTTCCCCGCATTGGCGCAAACAATGGTCACTTCGTACCGGATTATGAGCCCTTGGTAAAAAGAAGTTAATCGTTTCTTCTTTTTTCTATTTGTAAACCAAACTTCTTCAACACCATCAACAAAAATACAGTCCACACCAGAGGGCTGCAATGAGTATGATCGAGTAGGCTTGATCACACACACTGGAAATACAATCAAACCCAATCAGTCGGTCAAATGTAACATGTTCATTCGAGTTGCTCAAGCCAAATGAAAAAGTTGTGATCGAACATGTATTGATCGAAGTTTTGTGTTCGCAATCAAACAGCTCACATGAATGTTTTGTTTACGAACTAATGTTGAACAATACATACCGAAACGATCATCTCGGATGAGTATGATCGGTTTGATTTTTTTTGAAGGGTGAGTGATTTGATTCGATTAAATACGA